AGAGGGTTAGTAGGTTGCGGATGTATGTACAGACACAGGTGCATGTGCACACGCATACACACAGCATATGTGTTCACAATTAACTTGATTGATGCAGCTAATTAATAGATGATTCAAAGGTGATAAATCTAATAAATTAGAAACAAATGTCAACACACCAACAGCATACTTAACCACTTGCACAAAAAAACGTCTGCTTAGAAGCTCACAAACAACATGAAAAGGAAATGAAATAGATTAAACGAAAACATATGTGTTGCAAATGTCTACACGATGAAAGGACATTCTTAGACCACACACACACAGCAGATCACACAGTCCTGTCCAAATCACGATACATATTTTCATGTGTAAGTCTGAACTCAGTGATTTCACTCGTATTTGTCACCCAGGGTGTCATCACAGCATCATAAGCGCTGCGTTTGACTGATGACTGAGTCAGTCGAAATTAAAACTCACTCACCGGCTGCAATGAGCCATCCAGCTCTACTACAGCATAGGGCTGTGTATCACCAGCAAAGTCACGATACGATACGCATCACGGTACAGAGGCCACGATACGTATCACGATACAGGACTGCATTGAATTTCACCTCAGAAGAGTTTAATAAAACAGCTGTTTATTAAACACTGCATACTATAGTGCCATTTCTAACTATTGGCAGAGCAGGCAGTTGACCTCTGCATTATGAAGGGCCTCCATAACCGTACCAAAGTACAATATAGGTAATGGCATATGTTTCATGTTTACACTGGGCACTGCCCACCAGGTACAATATTCTGATTGTTTGCATCTTGTTTTTAAGCCCATAAATAATAATGTACTTGTTCTAATAAATGTATATTGTAATGTACTCATTCTTCTGAGAATAGAATATTGAAATGGAGATCGCTAAACTGCAAGCTAACTAGTTCTTTCAGAAAACAAGCGCGTTTATCAACAGTGGAGAGAGCACGCGTACACAGGGTTGCCAGGTTGACAAAGATAAGTAGCACACTTATCAGATATTTCCGTATTGCGCAAGTGGGAAACTCTGTTTTGGGGATTACGTCTCTTTATATCAGGCAACCTCTGCAGCCAGATTAAACCTTGTTGTAGCCTATATATATATTATGCTCTATTCACAATTTTTTAGAAACCTTGCACTTTTCTACTCCGTTTTAAACGTTGTTCTTGTATTCAAATTAAGCGCGGTCCACTGCTGCACACGTGCCACAATATCGATACTGGGACAGCTGTATCGATACTAGTATCGTCAAATCTCTGTGACGATACATCGTCGTATCGATGTATCGAACACAGCACTACTGCAGCATGACAATATGGCTAAATCTGTGACAGATCTGAATCACAAAGTCACCCAACAGAAACTACAGCACTGAGATCTAGCTCACAGTGATTGAGAATTCATGGTAACTGAGAAAACATCAGCAGGTAAGGTTAAATAAAGAGGTGGAAGACTTCTGGTCCATGTGGCAGGAGAACGAGATAAATCTGGCAGGGCTGGTAATAAAGCCTTAAGCCCCGTTCACACCAATAATGATAACTATAAAGTAGGGCTGAAAGATTAATTGCATTTGCGATAATATCGCGATATGAAAAAACGCGATTTTTCAATAGCAGAGGCTGCGATTACACTCGGTCACGTGACACGCGAGAGTAAAGAGGTGTGTTCGACTTGAAGATCGATCGGTGTATGACATCAAAGTACGGCGAGAGAAAGCATAAGGAGACGTCCGCTCTCTTATAGCTCTCGCAGTGCTTTGATGACACACCCATCGGTCTAAGCAGCGCTGCTTCAAGTCGAGCGCCGGCCATCAGCAGAAAAAGAAAAGAAATAAAACAGTAAACAGCCAAAGGACGTAACTTAGAATGGGAGATGGATCAGTTTGTGAAAGCGAAGAGAAAAGCCATAGATGAAGTCGCACAGACCCAGGCAGGTGCTGGTCATTTAAAAGCTAAATGCAGAAAATATGACGAGGCATATCTTGCTCTCGGCTTCACTCGCCACTCATCTTGTCTATACCGGACGCTACAGTTGTCGCGTCGCGTCGCGCCGCAACAGCTCTACACTGGACGCGACAAAGCGACCGTTGTTAATGTCGGGTTTTGTCGTGTCGCACCTACAGTCTATGGTCGCGCCGCATCCAGTGTACACAGCGTCACTGATTATAATGGGTTCTACTGTATTTTGCTGCTCTCGTGTCCAGTGTAGACACGGTGTTTAATGTCGTTGGTGAGGAGGAAAGCCTGTGTGTGTGTCCTATGCCTTAGCGGACAGCATGAAACCCACAAAAAATAAATAAATAACAGAGAGAGAATAATAATAATAACAGTTATTCTCTCTATGCTATTTTTCAATGTTTCAAGTGAAGCAGGTGTTTTTTTCCCTGTAGGTTTTATAAATAAAAAAAGCATTAATTTTTCATAATGTTTAGTGCAATTATTTTGTAATGGCAATTAGATTATTTTCCAAAATCGTTCAGCCCTACTATAAAAATAAAGTTCTAAAAATCGTTCTCTCAATATTAGAGAATAGCAGAGTCTACACCACAGCTATAACAATAAAGGCACAGAGAAACGGTATCATTGGAATCACTTTCAGAACGATTTTTTCCAGCTGATGAACGATACAAACATTGACAGCCAATCAGAATCCATCCTGCTGTAACGAGCTGGAGAATTTAAAGAGGCAGACGCGCGTGCACTTAGAATAAACAGACGATATCGTCCTCTGGCATGGACGCTAATATCGTTATCGCTCTTGGTGTGAACTAGGGTTGGGTATCGTTTGAAAGCATTTTTTCTAGATATTATAACTAACTACATTTAAAAGTTTGATTTAAACATCTGAATGTAAATATAGAGTGCATTTTTGGGCATAGTAAGTGCATTTAAAAGTTTGATTCAAATGTTTGAATGTTCAATTTGAATGGTCACATTTAGAATGTTTGATACTATATTCATTTACACACACTCTCTCTCTCAGTAAACACTTCCCTGAGGCTTGTGGGAGAGAAACATTCACCAGCATCAGATTTCAGCCTGGACCACATCCAACGCTCCGGCAGAAATGTGCTTATAGCATCAGCATTTATACACACACAACCTGACACTGCGTTCCTGTCTGACAAACCACACACTCTTTTTTTTACTGGTGGTTTTTCATGAGATGCACATGTAAATATATTCTGCTAACTGTAATAATCTGTTCCGATCATTTCTGCAACACAAGCGAGGAGTGAATGAGAAGGGTCTGGTTGTGTTCCTGATGAAACCGACACTGTGTGTGTGAAAGGCGAGAGAGAGAGAGAGAGAGAGAGAGAGAGAGAGAGAGAGAGTGTCTGTGTGTGTGTGTGTGTGTGTGCCAGACAGATGATGCCTCACACCCTACAGAAGAATTAAAAAGCCCTAAAATATAATGCATTGCAGGGACACATGTTGCCATTGGTCAAGATCCTCTGAGCGTGAGATAGAGAGAAAAATGGCATTTTTGAGTTGCTATGCTACCAACATCTCTCTCTCTCTGATTATCTCTCCATTTCCCTCAACTCCTTCTTTTCTTCCTCCTGTCTTTCAACCTCACCTTTCCCCTTCATCTTCTCACTGTCTCTTTCACACAAAGACACACTCAAACTCTCTCTCTCTCTCCCGGTGTAAGGATGCGTGTCGGACACCGAGGTGATTTACGTACACTCCTGCCATTATCTGTGAGATGTGTGTGCCTGACCGAGTGTGTGTGTAAGAAGGGGGAGTGTGAAAGGAAAACAGCAATTATTCATTTAGAAGAGAGTCTGGGGAATAAAAGCATGCTGCCAACATAGTAGCATGAGACTATCATGTGACTTTGTGTGAGCGTATCCATGTCTGTTGCACATACTGTCTTTAGCGCTGAGTGCAAACACGCACACATTCACAAACTGTGATCCACAGAGGCGCCTCGCTGATCAATAATTTACTGAGCGGAGAGAGAGGGAGGACAGGTGGGCAGGTGAGAGAGAGAGAGAGAAAGAAAGACAGACAGAGAACAAGAGAAAAAAGAGACAGATGAAGACAGTGAAAATGTGAGTGTACGTTTATAAAGTCGACTCACATCAGAGCTACATGAAACAATGTGTGACAAGCATTTCTTAGCTAATTACGGCAACATTCACCTATCTGTCATTAAAATTAACACATTTAAAAGTAATTTTCTGTGTAAATTACAACAATTAAACACAGATAAATACAATTTGTTATTAACAATGTGTTTTAATATGATTCTATTTTATATGATATAATTATTTTATTTATATGAATTGAAAAGCAATTAACATCAAATGTTCAACATGAACACTGTGATGTAGAGCAAACCATTAACACATGTTATAATATAATATCTTATAATACAGTGTATTTCTAAATAAAATGCATTGCATCAGGAAATAATTCGGATGGATTTTGTCGATGATGGTCTAGTGCAATGCTTACATTTTGCTCAAGTTGTGAGTTTGGAGTCTGAATTTAATGTGATAAGTTTTATTTTTAATGTTTAAGAAGGAATTCTGCTCACCAAGGCTGCATTTATTTGATAAAAAATTCAGTAATATCATGAAATATTATTACAATTTAAAGTAACTGTAGGGCTGTGCGAAAAATCGAATGCGATTTTCATGCGCATCTCGTCAGTAAACACGCTTCTGGTGATTAGTAGTTAATATTCAGCACGTGCCTTCAGATGGAGCGGCATTTACTACAC